AAAAAAAAGGAGAGTAAACTAAAAACTGATTGTGAAGTGTAAGCAAATGCAAAAATTGAGGTTGCCTGAGGGCAAATCCATATATTAGAGCAGGGGATGGAAGACTAAGCCTTGGGATATTGGAACTGGGGGAGCTAAATTTGAGAAGTCTGCTCTAAACCAGGACACTTGAACATGGTCGCAACTTTAGACAAGGGTGACCCAGAAAAAATATTCATGCTAGCAAATGAAACCTATCAAGAACTCTTATCTCTGCAGTGGCTCCAGATGCGGGGAGAAGGGGAAAGAGAAGAAAGAAAAAGGAAACTCACCCCTGAAACTTTTAATCCATGGACCTGGCCCCCTCAAGTTCTGGAACTGAATTTTATATGCTCCATATGGTCAAAGAAACTACAAACCAAGAAATTAAAGAGCTTGCTAGGCCCTGGTAGCTGGCAGATAGAAACACAGATTTTGTCTGGAAGAAACCATCTCCAACATGTATCTCACCAATCAAGCTCAACAAAGTATGAAACTCTTGTTGTTTCTGCACATCTTGCCAGCAGAGACACTGGCTGCTTTCATTCCAGGCTATCTTTTCAAGATTCTTCGTATAGCAAACAGCCTGGGAAGATAGAGACAGGGCCTCCCTCCAGAGTAAAAAGTTTATTCATTGTTCTATAATAAAAATAATGTATCCCTCTGGGGCAAGTTCAGGCTTATAATGGGCTTATGCCCATTATATAAGATTTAGGTTCCCTGAGCTCAATGTTCCTCTCTCCTGTAATGCAACCCAGTGCAGTGCAGTTATCATCCAGCCCTCTTCTCATAGCCCTCTGGAAATGCAGCAAGGGGAACCAACTTGCTGCTGCTCACTGTGCCATGAGTAATAAAGTTCTTTGTCTTTGACCCAGGAGTTTCATGTTCTGCCAGCATCCATGAGACTGTGGCAGGCTAGCTTCTTAGTTTGCAAGTAGGATAAAATGTTTGACACTTCATAGTTCTTCAATTATCCACTTGGAAAAAGAGGAAATTAGATATCTGACTCACATTGTACACAAAAACCTACATGAGATGAATTAAGGACTTAACTAACTGTGAAAGGCAAAATTTTAACTTTTAGAAGAAAATATAGATAATCTCAGAAAAGGGAAGGATTTATTGAACAAAACACAAAATCATAAAGGAAATAACTGATAAATTCAACTAGATTAAAATAAAAACTTCTGTTCATCAAAATATTCTATAGAGAAAATTAAAAACCACAAATTGGGAGAAGATATTTGCTAAATATATTACTGGCAAAGGATAACAATACACAGTATATAAAGAACTCTTAAAAATCAATTTCCTAAAAGCAAACAAAAAAAGGAAGGGGGTAATGAGCAAAAGATGTGTACAGGAATTTTACAGAAAAGGAAACACAAATGACAAACGAATGAAAACTCAACTACAGTAGTAATCAAAAAATGTCAATTGCACAATGATAATATTTCATTTTATTGGCATAAAAATCTAACAATATTAAGCATTAGTATGGTTGTGCAGCAATGAGGTTTCTTATTACTGTTAAGAGTAAAATTTAGTATAATCACTTTAAAAAACAATTCAGCATTATCTTGCAAAATTGAACAATTGCATACACTAAATTTATCGATTCTATTCCTAGGTACATATATGCTGGAGAAATTCTTGCACATAAGTACCAAACACATGTACAAAAATGGAAAACACAAAAACACAAATATTCATCAACAGAGTATAGATAAATAAATTATGGATTATTCACAATTTATTTTTCAATTAATTAATTTAATCTACTATAAGCATGGAAATGAATAAACCTAAGTTACAAACACCAAAATGAATGACTATATTATATTAGATATATATAATGTTGAGTGGGAGGGAAAAAAGTTGCAGCAAATTCACTATGGCTCCATTTTTATAGGTCTCAAAAACAGGCAAAACTAAACTATATATTATTTAGTGACAAATACCTATATGGTAATACTATAAAGATAGAAGCAAAAGAATGAAAAAAACAAATCTCAAGATTGTGGTTATTTCCAGGGAGTAGGGAGAGATTATAATCAAGGAAAACTATACGAGCAACTTTAATAGTTCCACATCTTCATTAAGTAGAGGGCTCATAGGTTCACTTGTTTCATGCTTCCTAAATTTTTTGAGCCAAAATAATGTATACAAGTGGACACTTTGGTCAACGTTGCTCAAGTAGTAGTTTGCCATAATCAGAAGTGTCTGGGGCCGGCCAAGTGGCTCTTTGGTTAGGAGTTGGCTTGGGAGAGCCAGCTCTGAGCAGCAGGGCCACTGGTTTGGATTCCACATGGACCCGTGACGCTGCACCCTATACAGCTAAGATGGTGAACAGCAGCTTGACCTAGAGCTGGGCTGCTGTGAGTAGCCTGTAATGGCATAGGCTGCAGTGTGGCTGCAGTGGGCTGCCATGAGTGGCCATCCAATGGCCGGTGAATGATCTGCCTCAACCAGGAAGAGCGCAATGATCACAACATGAACATAGGCCAGTGAAGCGATGTCCTCCACAACTAGACTGAAAGACAAAAGGACA